GGTATCTATTCAGAATGCACATCATCAGAATAGCACAAGCCCGCAATGTAGTAATGCTCATCATCAGAGCCTTGGATTCTTGTGGCTTTCCAGTTCTTTGGCACCTTTGTTTGTTGCGAGGACACCGAGATGCAGGTCGTCATTGTGGGAGCCGGACGTGCTGATTTGGTGGCGCAGACCAAGGCATGGTGAGGTTAACTATGAACAAAAGATCAAAAAAGTATAACAATAAGTATATATCAATTAATGTATATATATATTAATATATTGATACTGAAGGGCCACAGAGGCATTGCTTCAAGAAACATTCATGCGACAAGGCAGTGGAGAAGAAGTTCCCCGACAAGTTCTTCTACGCGGGCTGGATGGGTCCTGAGCGTTATGCCCTCCTGGCGGGCTGCGACTATACCTTGCTTCCTTCCAGGCTCTTTTCTGAGACCAGAACTCATCGGTATAAGTCTTTGTAAGTCTACCATTTGGATCCATTTTGTATTCTGTGTGATGTTCTTTATCAAGATGTTGAAAAAACATGTGGTCGGTGGACTATATATATATATATATGATATATAGTTATATAGTATATAATATACATATTTGGATACGATGTCACCGGATGGCTATGGCAGGTGGGAACCTTGTGGCCTTGTGCAGATGGAAGCGATGCGACTAGGCACCTTGCCTATTGTGGCCCCAACCGGTGGCCTGAAAGACACGGTGGAGGCGCATTGATGACAGAAGAAAAGAAGGAAGGAAGTCTACGAACACGTATGTCAATTTCTGCATTTCGTGGAGGTGGAAACTTACAGTGGAACTTCTTTACTCTCTACAGTAGTGCTTTGCACAGGATGGTGTCAACGGTCTTTGGACAGAGAAGGAGATGACTGTTGAGGCAGTGATCGAGGAGGAGCGCCAGAGAATCTTATGCATTTGCTTTTATGCATTTCTAGGCAAGACTTGCTTGATCATGGCCCGAGTTTGTCCTTGATCCTGTTGTGGGACATGTATGGTCAAAACTGGAGTTGTGTCCCTGTAGAGGGAAGGTCATTCAACGCTCCAAAGGATCCTTGTAGGGACACCAATTTAGGAGATTTGACCACGGCACATCCAGTTTGATGTGCCACCTATGGGTACAAGAAATGGAGCAAGGGGAGTTTGTCATGTTGGCCCATGCTTCCATGGAGAGTTCCCAAACAGGAGTCTGTGAATGCTATCTCGAAGTCACTGCGCCGTGCTGCCAAGCTCTTCACTGAGGAGCCCAGCAAGGCACTTGCTCATGCCGATGCTGTGCCAAAAACACAAACGCAAACAGGGCATGACGTCAAAACAACTGAGCACAGGTGGTGAAGATGAAGCAGGCAGCCATGGCAGCCGCTGCTGAGTTTACCTGGAGCAACGCTGCCTTGCAGTACGAGGCCATCTTTGAGGAGCTGGGCGTGAAGGATGTCCTTGGAGGTGTGGCAAGCGGTCATGACACATAGACTTTATAGAGTCAGACAGAGAGCATACTCAGTACATTTCAGAACGACTGGCATAGACATGCATGCCTTTCTGATTGACCCGAGGCAGAACCGAGACAGTGACTTTGGAGACAGACAAGCAGGTCTGCTAACTCACTCTTGATTTTGTGGCAACCCAAAGGCAACAGGACACGCATGGCGTAGCAAATATTTGTATGTCGCAGTATTGCTTTTTCACCAAGATTGTTGCATCAGCATGCATCAGCATTGCATTTCTTTCCACAGCATTCTGCTGCTTGTTTGTGATAGCCTGGCAACTTTTGGGTTGCCGCTATTGTTTTTCCGCCCACAGTTGGCACATACTGAGATGACACGATTTGTTTAATGTGTTTCCGCCAATGTGGAAATGGCATCTTTGTCGCTGGGCGACGGAATGTGACACACTGCCATGAACTCCAAACACAGTGGAGTTCACAGTGGAAAGGTGTGTTCGAGGGTGCAATGGCACCTTCCAATCACTTGAATTTTGCCATCACATTGGCATGGAATCAGTTCATAGCTTTGGGGAAGTTAACTGCTATCCCAAGAAGGCGCTGTAAGTTTGTAATTTCTGTGGAGATCTGAGTTCATCTCCCGAATCATGTTGTGCCTTTTCCACACTATGCAAGACTCCACTACTTTGGTGCTCCATTCTACTAGTAGCTTCTTCAAGTCATAACGAAGCCTTACAATCCATTTGGACAATCCACCTATATATAACTATCTACATGACATCCTGTTATGCATTCTTGCATTGGGAGCCAGAGCTTCGTGGAGCAGTCACAGTGTGCCCCAAATTTTACACTGTGAGAGGATCGCGGTCTCACAGCGAGAGAAAAGACTCTTTGGAGGCCATTGCTATTGGGTTGGAGGCTATCGCTATTTGATATCCCAAAAGAAGTCTTCTTGTTTGTGGAATCGAAGAGTGTTCGATCGAGTCAACTGGAGCGTCGTTTCTTGTCTCGGCTCCGATGAAGTCGAGAAGGTTTTCCTCCGAGGACGTCGACGAGCGTACGACGCTCGTCTCGGCTCCCACGCCTAGGCTTTGGGGACTGAGAGGCTTTGAGAAGGCCTAAAAAGGGGGCGTGCCACACACTGCTCGGAGTTGGTGAAGTCACGTAACGGAGTAGAGAAATCTGCATCCTAGGTCCTAGAGGCATGGTTCACGGAGTATGGCACATGGCAGATTCACAACCCACATGCCATACTGAGCCTTTGCGTGTCTTTGTTACCGCTCCATGAACTAAGGTTAATTGTGACATTCTCACTGCGGTCTGAATGAACTGCAGGGGAGGGGTGTGCAAGTTTCGAATTAGCAAACCCCTCCATGGGCACTTTTGATTGCCATGTGGAGTGCGCCCTGTTCCTAGCGTTTCCTGGCCCACTGTGATTCAAAACTATATATAATTAAGTGGTGTGGTTTGGTTGCTTTTTGAAGAGCACCAAACTAAATGCTATTGAAGTTTGCTGAAACGAGAGCATGTCCTGACTAGCAGCAGGAACGGGTCAAACGAATGGATTTGCAACTTTGTACGTGCCAGTACAAGTCAGCGAACTGATCAAAGATCTGTTCCAACTTCCTCCAACAGCGTGGCATCTGGCTTGCGTGGAGAACACAGCTGGATGGATCCAGAAAAGCCCATGCTGCGAGTGGTTCGGGCAGGAACCATGTTTCTCCATGGCAACATGCGGCAAGACCAGATAGGGGCAAGGCCGGTCACCTTTTTTGGAGATCTGGAAGACTTGCCTTTGTGGGCGGGAATGGGTTGTTTTGAGTTATTGTTGCCTTATATACTTCTCTGCAATAAGGGGTAGGTGAACGCTCGTTAGGTGCCAAGCTAGTTGTTAGTCAGACATCAGCAGATAGTTTTGCAGCTCACTTGATTTGAAACTGTTTTCACAAAGGCTTCATAGACAGCTCGATATTGTACGAAGTTCGATTCGGGCTCGTTTGTTCCTTTCGTTTGTTTCTCGGGTGGACCGCCAGGGAGTGATGAGTGCCTTGAGTACCGGCGCAGAGGCTTTGACCACAAGGGGTTTGGCAACTCAGTTACCCACAGAGGCGTTGCCCAGAAAAGGAACAATGAAAAGGAACAGAAGCTAAGGGTACCTTCAATAGGGCCCTTAGCTTCATATATCCCTTTACCTTGTTTCTTCAATGTTTTTCTTTCTTTGATTTGGCTTGTTTGATTTGGGGTAGTTGCATCAGGCACATGGATTGTTGGTGCTCCCGGAGACAAGGGACAACAGGGAGCAACTGACCATCCAAAATCAAAGCCCACTGAAACGGTTGCTGTTCCATGCTGTTCCATTGCGGAATCTCAGGTGCAATTGCCACCAGCTTTGATACCACTCCCACTGATGGCGCTGATGGTGGAGCTTTGACGCTGCATCCTGAAACGCTGGGCCATGGTTGGTCCTGATGGGTGACTGATGTTCCCAATATGACTTGGAGATATTTGGGGGGGTAGAAATGGATAGAAGATGATAGAAGCCTCATTTGTTTTATGTAATCAATTGAAATCCATTAAAGGGATCCATTTGTTTTGGTGTAAAATCCATGAATTGGTGCAACATCTCCTGATGAAGGCAGGCCCTTTCTTAGACAAACGCTGCACACCTAGTCGATCTAGAAGCAGTGGACCTGACTTCTTATGTTTGGCAAACACTTTTTACTCCTCTGATCTGCATCCTAGTTAGCGTTTCAATTCATTGGCTGAGCTGCTTTCAACCCTCCCAAATCCACTCTAAGGTCGGAATACGACCAAGCGCTTCGCCGAGCAATCTCCGTTCAGGCCAAACGACCCTGAGAGTGTCGGTCGAATCGAAGATCGCATCGAACGTAACACGGGCATCGCTACGAACGGAGCGTTCCGACTACGAACGGGGCTCTCCTGGCCTTACTACGAACGTAACAAGAAGCTCAAGGACGCTACTAGGGGCTCCTGGCATCGCTACTAGGAGCATTCTTACTACGAACGTAACAAGAAGCTACTAGTAGCTATAGGCTATAAGTGCATCGCTACGCTCAGAGATTCAATCTCCTGAGATGAGATTGAATCACGTGGCCTCTCTGGCCACTCACCCCTCGCCAAACTTGAGAACAATCTCAGCTTGATATTCTTCAAGCTTGTTGCGAAAAATTGGGCTTTGTAAGACTGGAAGTCGTTTCTATATTTTCTAGTGATTCAGAGACCACTAAAGAGAAGGAGTCCGGGTTGTTGCGCTTGTTTCCTGCTGCAGCAGAGACATCATGAAGCAATCCTCGGTTTGCAAATGTTACAGGCACAATTGCGAGTCTCCCATGCCTGCGAACTTTGTAGTGCGCCAAGTTCAGCCTTTGATTTGGCAGGGAAGCCCAAGTGGGAACAAACTTGGCTGGGCTAAAACACATGTTGATTATATTTATTGTGTCTTTGCAGACTGTTTATATTCAGTATTTGACTACATTAGGCAATATATTGTTTGAGGTTGCGCTAAGCATCAAGTAGTCAAGCTTTGGCGCAGTGATATTCCTAACCTGGCTCAACGGTCCTTCATACTCGTTTCACCAGCCACTTGTCAGGCTTGTGGCAAATGCGCAGTATCACTTTGCTCCTCCTGTGTTCGCCAAAGACCTAGATGGTTCGGCCTGCATCATTCCTTTTGCATCAGAGATGATCCGTGTATTTTGTGCATAGTCTATATCTATATAGGTGGTCGTATAGATCAGCTGGCTGAGGAACACGACTGGGACCCGATCCCTGCTGCACGGAATCCCAGTTTGCCATGCTTCCGACAGGACTGACCTTGAGCATGAAACGATGCGCAAAAAATGGACGCATGCTGCGTGGAACAGATGTGAACTAATCAGCACCTTGACTAAAGCACGATATTTGTCAGTGCGTTGACTGGGAATTCCTGGCTGATATATCTATATAATTACAATTACCATCACAATTACTAATATAACTATTAAAAGCTATATATTATAACTATATGAGTTAGTTTCTTTACTATTGAGGTCCTGGTTGTGGAGACCGGGAAGTGTTCAACGTTTGGAGCTCCCAGCTGTTGGAAGAGAATGTTTGAGTCTTGCATTTGATGAGTGATGCTTCTGCATTTGAGGCGGTCAATGCAAACAGATCCATGGAAATGCATGGAAATTCAGAAAAGCGGACCGCTATGCTACTATGTCCCTGGTCAGTCGAATGAGGTCAAAGCAGTTCAATTCCAGAGAAATGCCTCACAGATCTCAAGCTCAGTGGGGGGAGCCAGCCGTACCAGCGCTTGGTAGGACGTGGTGCGTGGCAGCACACGACAACATGGCATTGTTTCCTAATTTGCTGGCTAGGCGCACACACCCTGCAGACGTATCCTGCCAGGCGTTTCAGCTTGCATTTCTTCAAACCAAAGGGCAGATCCTGTAAACGCCCAACCGCACGTGCCATCACATTCGCCCGGTGACGTTCTCCCGGTAGAAAGACCCAGTTCCTCCGGATCTTCGAGGCTTCTCAACTCTGGGATGGGCTTCTCTACTTTGGCCAGGCACGGCACCCGCACCCGTCCCGCCCTCACGGAGCGAAGCGCGAACGGACCGACCCACGCGGGCCAGCGCTACAAAACGTTCCTTCGGAGCAGAGCTGGTCCACTAAAGCTGTAGTGCTCGTTCGCAATGTTTTTGGCAAAGTTTTCAGAACAGCCCTGAATTCAACTCAGCAAGTGTCTTGGAACGTGCGTCTACCAAGTATAAGCAGCAAAGGAATGAGGCCCAAAAACAATTGTTGGTACTGTTGATTTGTTTCTAAATCTTGGAACTAGCCTTTCATCAAGAAGTCCAAATATCGCTCGGAAAACTGCAGGGGTCGGAGATGGGTACCTCTTTCTGAAGTGGAACGGGCTGACGCTCTGATTCGTGTCTCATTCATGGATTTGGGGCATGCTTTTGCTAGCAAGTTGACAACAGCGCTAGTAGTCGTGCACTTTTATCAAACCACGAAGAGTTCGTGCGATGTCATTGCACTTTGCATGAACATTTGCACCGCTGCAATCGAACATGTTTTCACTGTAAAAGACAGCATGTTTGTTAATGTTTGTTGAATAGTAATTTGCTTGCCTTTCGGAATTTGACACTTGTGGGTGGTAGTGTTGGATGTTTGGTAGGTGGGGGGTTAATTACGTTCGGTTGGGTGTGGTGTTGGAAGATGCTACCACATGCTACCACATGCACACACGCGTTGGAAGATCATGCCACATGCACAGACACTTTATTCCTGACTTTCACTTCTTCTTCACCCATCCGGTTTTGCAGTCGTGTTATTTCTGTCTATCCTGATTAATTACTTACACTCGTTATGCGAACGTGTTGACGTTACCCTGGGGTCCTTTGGTACCCTTTGCAATTTGTGCAGCAGACCTTTCAGACTCAGACCATTCTAGTCGGCGATTCCTGCCTCCCTGCACACGTCACGTTTACTTTCACAGGTGCTGTCAACCCCTCAACTGCTCAAGTGTTTACTATACAAAGGTACTGCTGTTATTCCAGTTTTGCTGGAGCAAAATTGCAAAATGCACCAGACAGGCCAAAAGTCACGTGCACTTTCAGATGGTACGTTCAAAAGAGTGCGCATTTTGCCAACGAAGATTGACAACCCAAAAAACACAGACATGCAAAGCGAAGTTGTCCACCCGGCGGGATTATTTTGTTAGGGTCAGGCGGGCAGGCCCAGAATTCCAGCTACAAAAAGAGTCCCAATAAATCCTTGGCAGTCAGGGCTTGTTCAACATTGAGAGCACAGGCGGGGACCTCGATCTTCCGGTGATCTCAACAGACACTCACTAGAAGTCTATTTCAACCGTCGACGATGACCTCATTATTCTTGAGGCCGAGCTCAACCAAAGACAACATGAGATCGTTGGCAGCCAACATGGCTAAACGATTTGTTTGAGTCATTTGATTTCCCAGTGGTCTCTTGTGTTTTTGGGTGCGTAGTTGTTTTGAGGGACGGAGCAAGTTCCAGCTGCGCCGCTTTTGGTGCCAGGGTCGTGACCCGAGTTGAGTTGTGAAGGATTCAGCATTAACCACGAAACGCAAGCTGAAAGTACACTGACACAGCTCAGCTACTACCCCTCGAATCCTCCAATCTATGCTCCACAAAAAGTCCGAGCTAGCTCAGTCAGAGCCGATGGCATGTCTTGATGCATCGATTGTTTGTAGCCGTTTAACTGCTTGGAATGTCCCAGTGCTCACACTGTAAAGAGGTGCTCGCGCTCCTTGACTCATCGGATGGGGCGATGGGGAATGGGGAGGTTTCCTCCAGGGTGAGGCCACAGTCTCCCAATCCCAGTTCCCTGTTCTTTTTGTGTGAGAAGAAGGTAGAAGTCAGGGAAGAACAGGGTACCAGCTCCCAATTGGGTTCCATGGTGGAAGATGGAAGAAGTCAGTGCCGGTCGCCACTGTGATTGACCCTTCGCGCTTGGACTGAAAAACGTCGCAGTGACCCTTCGGTGGTACCTGGTGCTTGCCCAGCATTTGGCACGACTCTGGCACGGACTCCACGGTGGACGGAAGACAGTATAGTAACTGAGCGGTTGTATCACTTCTCACGTCACACGAGAGGCCACAATCACAACAGAATAACACAGCAAAATGGTACTATAGTAAGTTCATAGGTTCTATGGTACCCATACGCACCTACCAAACTCCAGCAAAGCATGTCCCGTCAAAGTTTCAGGCAAGTACCCTGAAAACATGAAAGCACCTGGCTCTGTGATACACCAGATTGTCTTTGCTCTACTGTAGGCCCCATTTGCAGGATTTTGCAGGGGTGTTTCTCCGGCACTTTTTCGTGAAGAAAGGGTCCAGCAATCGCAGCAAGATCAACAAGTAGCTGTGGCATGGTAGCTGTGAATCGTTGCAGGGCCAGTCCGAGCTCGATGGCCTGTAGGGCTAGTACAACCTCTGCACACGTCTTCATCAATGGAAGATGGCTGCTGAGATCAATTTGGAGAGTAGAGTAGGTAGACAAAGCTGCTAAAGTCTAGTTCATGTATGTGGTTTTAAATGAATTTGTTGTTTTGGCACAACCAGTGCGTAGTTGTATCGCAGAAAGAATGGACACAACCGGACACGACAACCTCAACTTGTTCTGTTTGCCATCAAAAAAGAGTGCACATTAGAAGCTTTGTGAAATGTTGTGAATATGGTTTTCAACCACTGTCCGCAGCACTGTCCGCAGCTAAGCAGCTTCAACCACTGTCCGCCAAACATGGTTCTTTCGGTGTCTGAGGTCCTCGAAGGTGGTGAGTTTCACCTTGGAGCTGGACGCCTCCAACGAGGATCCACAATATGATGTCCTGCTGGTGGGTGTCCCAGTGGACACCGACGACTGGGACGACTGGGAGGTTCAAATTCAAAAGGTGCGACCCATGGACTCAAAGAGTCTCAACGACTCCAAGGCCAGGAATGAACAAATAATCACACTTGAAACAGCTTGAAACTACTTTTAGTTGGCTATTGTTCGGTGTTGCTTCGTCCGTCATCCTTTCTTAGCTTCTTTGCTGTCGCTTCTCTGTGGATTGTACGAAGCGATGTCCGGTGCGATCCCACCCGAGAGAGCCGAGGTGAAAAGCACCTTCTTGGAGTTTAGCGATTCTTGGCGATCAAAAGGAATGCGAACAACAGTTTTGTACGTGTAGTACTGGGTAGTCTTGGCAAGCTGACTACCATCCTGACTACCTCCTCCATTGCAGCTGAAGTACCAGTGAACATATGGTGAAGTAAATCTAGAGTCCAACCCCTTTTGCTGTGGTTGCCCTCAGAACACAAGGCGGCGCTGAATTGAGCGGGTTCATATTTATTGATACGTTTTTTCGTTGACTAGGAACCATAGAAAAGGAGATAAACCAGGACCTGACCAGGTTGTGAAAGGTCGATGACAAGCATCAGCTCAGGATGGTCTAAGCCTTCAAGACAGTGGCTTGGGTAACAAGACCGTTGCTTCCTTCGTTCACATCTCAAGATTGATATCTCAATTCACTAGAGAGGTTTAATCAAATTTAAATTAGCATCTGGCATCTGATCTATCTAAGCGGAGATTTGTTTAATCAGACTTCTTGTTACCACAGCTCCATGGGAATGCAAGGTATAGTTGCGCACGAACATGCAAGGTGTAGGAACTTGAAGTGTTTCTTAAATCATCTCAAATCTGTATCCGTCCAGCTGTTCAATAGATAACGGGAGGCATGGACTTCTTGTCCACACCAAAAGAGCAGCAACTGGCCAGTTGATCGAACCACACAGGTCATGCGGTCCTTCGAACCACCGAGGATTCCGTCAAATCCGCAAGGCCTTGCTGGATCGAAGGGCATCGAACGTTCACGGCTGGACTCCACGATGCGCGTGTTGGACGTGTAAAGCTTAAGAGGAAAGAAGAAGGTCCACTGATGCAGTGAAGACAGAAGCCCATGACCTACAGCGTGTACAGATGTGTACAGTGCAACCGAGCAGAAGTGTCGCTTCCGTTGCAGAATGGACCTTGGTTGCAGGCCCTCACAGATCCCATCTTTGACAAAGAGACCTACATTCAAATCTATGAGCCAGGCATCGGACCATCGGACCATACCTCGATCGATCGGACCATCGGACCATTTGTTTGCAAGAGACAGAGGACAGGTGAGTGGTTTTGTTTACAAGAATGAGAGGCACTAAGCAACCAAACGCCACACGTGAAGAAAGGAGACGCTTCAGCTTGGGACCTTTGTCCACCTTGGAAACGACGTCGCTTCCTTTGCTGCGTTCTCCTTCTCGTTCTCAGACAGGTATCGACTTCTTCCGCTTTAAGGAGCCCATGGAGCCGATGAACATAGAGCTCAACTTGCTCAATTCTCCAGTTCCTTCCCTTTGTGACAAGGAAGAGGCGAGATTTTTAATACACACCCGGATCGCATCAGAAAAAGGGTTGTACCGGAAAGGGGTTGTGTGGGATTCAACCTAGCCATGGTCATGATTCTTTTGCTGGAATGAGATGGATCTTTAATGTACAGATTTGGTGATCTAACCGAATAGATTACAACTGCAGAACTTCTGTGCAAAGTGATTTCTTGTTTTGTTGGTGTCCATACACCTTTTTCTCCTGAGGGGACACGGTCATTTTTGCGCTGGAATCCAGGGTCCGTTTATGTACCGGGCAGGACTTCGAGGACGGTGGAAGGATGGATGCGCTTTCTCAGAACACCAGCGCTCCCAGTGCTCAGCAGGCTGCACCTTGGCTGCGGCAAAAGCAGGAAAAGCCCCGAAAGTTTGAAGTAGAATAAGGACAGGACAATTTGGTTGACATTTGACTCCTCCAACCGGCGGGTTTCAGACTATTTCATGTTGTTTCTTATTTGTGAGTCGAGGAGTGCACTCCGGCCCATCAAACCAGGGATGCATATCTAGTTACTAGTTGGGGAAGGCTCCTTGACTCCTTCAGTGAGTTTGTTAGCTGTGCCCTTCCACGGTTAACACGGTCAAGAGTACTGTAAATTTGATGAAGTATCACGGACGACCCGTTTGTCTTGCAAATATTGGAGACTACGATAAGACATCCACAAGCGTATTGGTCATCAGGGTCCTGGAGGAGTTTTTGTTTTGGATGTTTCTGGTTCAGTTGTATTTGAAGCCATTGTAATTACCTCTCAGTCTTCATGGCATGGGATTCAGCGGTCAGACATTCTGACTGCTCTCAGTCTTCACATTGTGAGCTTGCATGAGTCATTGTCCAATTGTTTGGTTGGCACCCACGGTTCGATCCATCTACTGTGGCACTGTAAGGCTGAGGATACATGCGGCAAGGCAAAGGCCTGGGCAGATAAGCTGAGTGCTGGTGGTTGAAGGCCCGTTATTCTTGCGAGACAGGAAATGAGCCGCCACGCATTCGAGGCCAAGCGGCCAAAGACAACGGTGATGCTGAGGAATTTGCCGAACAATTACACAAGGCTCAAGTCCGGGCAAAAGCTGGCAAATAGAAGACACAGTTGTTTGATGTTGTTTGTAGCAGTTGTTGTATGTATAATTAGTACTGTATCAAACTGGCGTGGCATTAGCATCAGTATTTGTTGTTATTACTATGATTATTAGTAGTGTAGTAGGTAGTAGTTAGTAGTAGATAGGAGTAGATGGTAGCAGTAGTCGTCGTCGTCGTAGTAGCAGCAGCAGCAGTAGCAGTAGCAGGAATAGTAGTTGTTGTGGTCGTTGTTTGGTGTCACGTATCGTGAAAGCTTCAAGAGGTCAACTTGCAAAAGTCCATTATTGAGTTATAGGCTATAGGCAAGAGTACAATGTAGAGAAATGCACCAAAAGCCAAAGCATGGGTGGGCAAAGCAGAACGCTACCTTTAACTTTAATTGAATCCAATGGCAAAAGCAAGACAAATAGAATGCACATTCGGGCAAGCGGTAACTTGCTTTGTGCGGAAACGGCTAACGGAAGGCAAACAAGGCGGAAAGAAGAAAGACAATGGGACGGCCAAACAGTTCAAGAAGTTCAAGAAAGACACGTCAAGCGGAAGGCGACAATAAATTTACACCTGAGCTGCCTTTGTCCAACCTTTCTTTACATTCATTTGCCCTGTTGGCTTTCATGCCTCTGAGGGGCCTTACTCCAATGGACCGTTGCCATTTGTCAAGTCATCATACAAAAGTGGTGGTACGATTTGAGATCCGATCTACCTACTCCCTCTGAGTTTCTTCTTGTAATTGGACAGACAATGTGCCCTGCTGTTGGTTGAGGTTAGCCACTAACCTGGAGGCCATCTAGGAATTAAGTTTCCTAGAATTCGAATCATTAGTGTGAGCGCTTCTGCGTCCATAGGTAGTAGTAGTAGCATATATAGCTTGTATCCCACTCCCACTCTTCTCCTTTACTTAATTAAGACAGTAGGTGTCTTAATTAAGTAAGGAGGCAAGGCCACAGGCTACAAAAAGTAGGTCAGAAACATCTCAAATTAGACTGTCAGACAGACGTGGTTGTTTGCCTTTCGGCAGGTCAATGCTGGCACACT